ATTTTTCATATTAATTAAGTTATTTCTAATCGCTACATTAAGGATTTCGGAGGGATGTTTATTAGTTAATATAGAGTATATAGTTTTATATATTACGGACATGTTATTCACTAATTTACTTATGAAATAGCTTTATTGTATGGAAATCATTTTACTAAAGATAAATAAGGATTTCGTTGCGAGCCAGTAGAGTTTCAATCCGCATAAATCTGTTATCCATTCATCCATATCCAAATTTATTCGGATATCCATTTACTATTGATATCCGAATAATCCGACAGATATTCGGATAATTATCCGGATATTAATAGTAAACTGGATATCCGAATATATTCGGATTTGGATATCTGATGGATAAATGGATTGAAACTTTACAACAGATGCTATATATCCAATGAACTAAAACGTTTACAGCACCATTTATTTCAAATTTAAGTTCGGATAATATCAAATATGTAACATTTCAGGTTAGAATACTAATTCTGGGGGGTAAAATGTATCGATCACGTGATAATATGTAACTCGATGCTAGTGTCACGGTGTAAAAGCGACGGTCCCATAAAATAGGGTCGGAACTGCGCCGAAAGCCCAAAGTGACGATGTTAAGTCTGTGACGATGTTAAGTCTATGACGTGTCGATCCGAATAACATCCAAGAATTCGCCTGCGTGTAGCCCGATTTGCATACAAGTCATTTGGACCAAGCCCTCAAGAAATGACACGAAAATAATCGTATACGATCATATTAAAATCTTGAGAATATAACTCAACAGTATTCAAATGCTTCATTCTTAACGCTTGCCTCTTTCAATAAATCCTTACCTTCGCAAACATTTAATCTTAAAATCTCATAGAGGAATTCTCTAGACCTTTGATGAAATCTCTTTTTGCCATTTCTTTTTCGTAGAATCTAAAAAGGCATCCTTCATTATTCATAGCCGGAGAAAGAACATTCTTCAGAGAGGAAGCATTGATTTAAACTTCTCTATTATTTTATAAACTGAATCAAAAATGTATTTTCATTTAGTTCTGATGAATAATACAGTAATACGTATACACTGAGTGCTACATATTTGATTTGGCTTGTTATGTTATACAGATTCAAAAATTACAGTTCTACTATATACCATATTCGGATTGTAAAGGCAAAAAAAGTAGAATTAATTTTTTTTGTCAGTTTATTTGATATTGGCTGAAATACGTACGTAGTAATAAAAAATAAATAAATAAATAAATAAATCATTCGACATTTTTTGTGTGAATTCACTTTTCCATTTTAAGTTTTCATCGAAGTGGGGAAATCTCCTCATAGGCACATATGACCATTTTGCGAATCATGAGAATTCGGCTAAATAAAAAAATATATTATATAAAAATAACCAATTCATCACCAGATTAGATTATATTTCTCTAAAATTACAAAGTAAAAAATGAGTATTATAATTGGACCTGCGATAGCTGTTACAACAACATTCTTGGTTTTAATAGTTGTTTTATCATCATTTATCGGACTAGAGAAATTTGAGGTACCCATTACGGCAAATTCTACATTAACTGGATATCCAACATGGCATATTAATGTTCCAGGTTTTGTATTATATTATACGTAGTATTAAATTTGAAATTGAATCTTTTTAACGTTAATACTTTAATATCTTAAATTTTATTATAATAATAGGTCTCGATGTGAATCGTTACAATACAACATTGTTATTTTCTAACACGATATGCTTTTTTGCTAGTGTCCTTGGTTTTTATTGGGCATTTTATCAACCTCAAGATAAACGTCTCATCTCTCATTTTTACAAAAATGATACTGTTACCACATCCACCCGTCAATTCAACCTACTTTTAGCTACTTATATTTTTTTCACGTGGTTCTCTAACGTGGCTTACATGATCATCGATATTGGGAAATTATGGTCTCCGATTGGATTGTTACGGAACTTCGTCGAAATAACGTTATTAGCATGTATTCATTATGGTGGAAATATTACTGCGATTAAGTATTGGGTATGGGTATTAAGATATTTTATGTTAGTGATAATTGGATGCGTATGGTTGGATTGGCCTTATGATGCACTTTGGTATCAAATACAAGGTATACTGATATTTTATTTATTATTATTATTTTATCTGTTAATTTTATTTTTGTTTAAATTCATTTGTTAATTCGAGATTGATTTTGTAAATGATTTGAAACATAATTATATTAATATGTTAATAGCCCTAAGCATAGAGGCGGCACTCGTAATAACATTCTATCGCTTGTACTTCTCCACACACAAAAATCTTCATGAACATGAGAATCTTCCTCTAAATACTGATAATGACAACCCAGACACACCAGAAGAACCTATTCCACAAGAATCTAACAGTGAATATCCTTACCCCCTAAGTTTCTTTCCTCAACCAAAACAACTTTTTGGTCTGATTTTCGCTTCAAAAGTTCATCTTTTGGGTGATGCTATAGTTTTAATATTTTTAAATCATCCCAATGCGTAAGTATATAGTCTTTATATAAAAATTCCTTATAGAAAACATATCTCATTTTCTTTCTTTTTAATATTTAGTTACCTAGTGGGTTCTTTAAGTTATGCAATATCATACGGTATTTTCGCCTATTACATTTGGTTAGATACTCATTGTTATAAAATTTTACCTAGAAAACGTATTTATGTGCCTGAAACAAGTACCTGGAAAGTTATTTGTATTACTGTCCTTTCTGTTACTATAGCACTTTTACTTGTTAGGCTTAGTTATTTTGTGTTGATTTTGGAGAAACATTAACTTCTTTTATGGATTAAAATTATTATTAATTATTTTTATTAAAGTTTTGTCAATTTTTAACATCTTATTCACTTTATAAAAATACTAATAAAGTTACAAAAATTAATTTATTGGTTTTCATAATATGAATTTACTTAAGTGAGAGTCAGATCTTAAAATGACTCATGTGGTGACGGAATTTAATGATTAATCAATGATTATACATAATTAAAATATATTTAAGAATAAATAATTTGAAATTAAAAATTCGTTTTAACTTTCTCTTCTGAAGTTCCCCCTTAAATTAAACAATATGAGGCTGATTGGTAAATCTTGGAAAGCTAGATAAACAATCAATATTAAACACAAGCGCGTCAGAATTTATTGGGGTTAATAAAGTTTGGATCAGATTAGGTTAAATTGAACTTAAGTTTGGATCATTCAAACCTTGTTTTAAAATTACTGTTTATTTAATTTTTACCCTCTATCTCTGCACAAAAACCAAAAAAAGAACGTTAAACGAAAGTTTAAATTCAAACGGCCTAATTAAACTCTTAGTTCATTGAAGTTAAACACAACTCTAGTCTATATGATTTCTCTCGGTCTAATTAATTTACTAATAAAACTCTTATATATTGTAGTGAATATTAATAGATTTTACTATAATCAAAGTTTTACAAATAACTGCTGCATACTTGCGTTTGGTAGGTTTAACGTTCAAATCTATAAGAGCTAGTGTTACAAATTTGAAATAAGATTGATATTATCACAATTGAATTTATTATTTGATTATTTTTTCATTAAAAAAAACGAATCAAGATCAGGTTCTAGGTTAGAAAAAATTTACTGCACAAAGCATACTAAAAAAAATAAAATTGTGATATCACTGTTTTGCAAAAAATCAGAAACATATGGACTAGTAGATTATATGCATATATATTAGTTATTATCAATACCCTTCAATCAACACATGAGTATAATGATAATTTTTGTTAGCGAAGCAATTATGAACATAAATACATATTTACCTTCAAATCATGAACTTATATATTTATTAAAAAATACTTATCTCTAAATGCTTATTTGATATTGATTACTTAATACCTTTTAAATAATTTCATTCACAATTTAGTCCAGGTATAAGGAGAATTTAGTAAACAGCGAATCAAGACCTGCATTAATACCAAATAGTCGTAGCAGGTAGGTTTAAAGTTAATATTATCAGTAGAACTAAAATCATAAATAATTATTCATAATAATACATTTCTCTAAATACTATTAGTAACCTAATAACCTTCAACTTATTTCATTCGCATTAATTCAAATAGGTAATAATGACAACCATTTCACTGACTGACAGATATTTTGCCAAAAAATTGAGCCCGATTTAGGTTAGAGTTAATCTGACTTAGTGATTTGAACCAGGCTATAATCGGTTAACCGACCCGAATTGAATAAATTGCGGGTAACCGGATGAGTAAATTCTTAATCGGTTGACCCGTACAACCGGTTGAGTATCGATAATCGGTTGAATGACAGAGCAAAGGGTCCGAGAACTTCCGAAAAGAAAATGAATGAACATAAAAATCCGAGTAAAGGTCCGAGAGCTTCCGAAGGTAAAGTGTGAAGTAATCTTAATCGGTTGCAATCGGTTGACATTAAATATTTCGGTTCGGTTTAATGGTTTGGGCGAAATTATATTTCTATTTCCGAAATATTTCGGATTTTAATAAGTAGTCCGAAATAATAACCCTAAATTCCGAAACCAAGACGAAAGTCCGATATAAATCCGATAAAAATCCGATATTCCGATAAATCTAATATAAGTCCGATATCATATTTAAGGCAAATATACGTAATAACTTTTTGCACATCTGAAATCTGTGACAGGTTATGTCGATCATTGCTGAATGTAGCCAATAAAATCACAAGATCATGTGTAACTTAAAAAATTCGAGAAAACAGAAAAATCGCAAATAACACAAAATTTTACTATGATAACCACAGTTTGACTTCTAAATAAAAGTTTTTAGCACGAAATTTTAGTTTATAAATATATTTTAAATATCGAATATCAAGTAAATTAAAGTCTGCGCTTAATTCTGATCTTTATGCTCTTTCGATTTGGTGGTCGACATAACCTGTCACAGATTTCAGACGTGCCAAGTTTTTTTACTATGACGAACTAACTATATTTGTAATTATATACGTAATATTATAATTAAGTTCGCCACAGTAAAAACTTTAATATTGGCTTACTAGTACATATTAGAGAGCGCTATTAATGAATCAAAAAGAACTTTATTTGAGGTCAACTTATAACTTTTATTAATTTTGTACTAATCTGGTACTTTTTTTATTAATCTAACAGTTTTTAGCTATCAAATAATGCATTTTAAAGCATTTAATAATTTTATCTTCAATAATATAGCGAAGTAACTAGTTATATTTAAATCTAATTATATAATTATACTTTTTTTTTATAACTAAACTTTTGAGATTTCTTTAATAAAAATTGATTTCATGATAAATATTGTAATTCATAATATCTTTAAAACAATAAATCTATTTTTTTCGTTCAGACCTTTGGCCACCAACATCAAACATTCTAAGAATTATATGAATAAATATTAATAACTAATCAAATAGGTATATTTTTATTATTATACACAAGAAACACATTTCTAGTATTTGTAAAATAAGTCTTAATTATATATCATATATATATTTAATCAGTTGGATAATGAGCAATAATGATCAATATTGAACACTAAACTTTTATTAATTCTGATATTTATAAATTTGTTGGTTAGATGCAAGAAAATATTTACAAACTATATTAGTTTAACATTACATTGACCTCTCTTTCAGGATCCCAATTCTCCTCATCATTTTCTATATAATTATCATGAACAATAATGTTTTCCTCATCAGAAAATTCAAAATTAGTATCAATGATTAATTCATCTAAATTATTTGTAAAATTAGTTGCATTAAGATTCAACAATTCCTTGATTTTTAATATTTTTTCTTCTAGTAATATAAAATTATTCTCTGTTTTTTCATTAGTAGATTCTTCATTCACTGGTCTTTCTTCATTCTCTAGTCTTTTTTTATTTTTTGATCTTTCTTCATTTGCTAGTCTTTCTTCATTTGCTAGTCTTTCTTCATTCAATAGTCTTTCTTCATTTGCTAGTCTTTCTTCATTCTCTAGTTTTTTTTTATTAAGATGTTCATCATAATCATCATCATCATAAAAATTTATATTAGACAATGCTTCATATAAATTTTCAACATTAGAAGAAAAATGCGGCAGCTTATTCTTTGAATTTGCAAGATAAAAAGCAAAAAGCTTTTGCATGTTTTCAATTTTGTCTAAAGAAAGATGTGTATAATGTTTTTATAATACCACCCTAATATAGACCAAATTCTTTCACATCCAACTACATGTAGTGTTATAGAAAATAGCATATGAGCTAATTGACAAATATGATCCTCATTTTTTAAAAAATAATCCTCTAATGACATCCATCAAACTGCAAGAGATTTATTATTATCAAATAGTATATCAAATGGTGCAATACAATATTGGTAGCTTCTCATTTGAGACATCAGCATTTTTCTTTCTTTGGATTTTTTGCCTATTTTTTCATAAAAACTATCTGCTGCCAAAAGAATACACTAGAATGTTTCTCTTACCCATACATCTATATTAAGATAAAATTTATAAAATATAAATCAATTAAAATTAGACCATACAAATTTAATTACTTTGTTTTTATAACATGAAATTTTAAATTAGACCCAGCTAGCTAGTTTTTTTTAAATTTTTTATATAAAAATTTTATAAAATACTATAAAATTTTTTACAAAAACCCATCTGGTTATTAAAACATATAAAAAGAATTTTTTAAAAGTTTTTAAACCTTGACCTTGCTGAGTTATAAAAACTAATTTATTAAATTTATATAGCTTTAAATTTAAAAATAAATAATTTACCAGTATATTCAG